TTAGTTATATCTCACAAAGGGTAATTTCGTCCATTTGTTAAGCTCTGGATTTCTAGCCTGAATTATCATGAAAGGTTTTTTTGAAGATTAACAAGTGTGTGACGTCATTCTCTTTCCTTAACCTTGATGTCCAGAGGTCAAGGTTGGTGTAGCCACATAAATCAGAGATACTATTTTTGGAACAGTAATTTCTGATCTAACACTGCTACAGCTTAATTAAATTAACGTCATTAAAAGCTATCCTACCCTTCCACGAGGAATACCTAGATTTTAAAACCCTGCCTAGAAAATCAACACCGATGACAAGTTTCTGTCTTGAAGTTGTTGTGACGACATTTAAATAATGACCCACTATCAAGGTTTTGTCACCGGCAGTTTTATCAACTCTTACGCAAACGGACGGAGTGGCCTAGCGATAGAGAGCTGGACTGCTAACCCGTGTTTCTCGAGTTCGAATCTGGGTTCAAGCTAGTAGACCGTCCCTGAGTCCACCCAGCTCTGATGGGTAACTAACCCATGTTAGGGGAGAAAAAAGACGGCTGGGCATAGTGTTGACCACACTATATCTTCATATACCGAGGTCACAGAAACAAGTGAACTCTACTTCACTTACCACAAAGACCGTCAGGTTTGGAAGGGGAACTTTACTTTACTTACACCCATGACAACATAATCGAAAGTGACAAGTCCCATTTTTGTTACACCGTGGTGGAATTTATTGCACACCTCATGGGGAAAACCCGATCTGGTTCCTGTATTCAAAGTAGCACAAAGACAGATCTCTGTCTGGAAATGAACCCCAATGGTACCATAAGGGTTGGACTCTTGGATGAGAATTTAAATATTTAAATATTATCAAAATCTGGGGCTGTGTACATAAAACACCTGATAATAGAAAAACAACTTGATTAAGTAATTGTTGTGTAATATATATATATATATATATATATATATATATATATATATATATATATATATATATATATATATATATATATATATATATATATATATGTATATATATATATATATATATATATATATATATATATATATATATATATATATATATATATATATATATATATATATATATATATATATATATATATATATATATATATATATATATATATATATATATATATATATATTGGATGTATTTTGTCTTTAATAATTCACGTAGCCCAAAAGAATAATTGAAAATAAAATAGCATCGATAATGCTTGATAAGAAGACCACGAATAAGTTTGACGAAAGATATGACGCAATTTTTTTTTAAAAATTTCGTTTTCTGAACCATGACAACAATAATGTCCGTCTCACCAAACTTGACAGACGACAGTATTCCAGACGTGAAACTCAAGCAGACGCCATCAGGAATGTCAATGTTTGGTGCCATCTGTTCCAAAAATTTGACCAAAGAAGTTGTGCAACACTAAAAGTGAACAATAACTGGCTTTAATCTCATCGCTGCATATAGATAGACTGTCCGACTCATGATCCTCCACCCCATCTCCCCCACCTCATCTCCCCCACACCATCTCCCCCACCCCATCTCCCCCACCCCATCTCCCCCACACCATCCCCCCACCCTAACCTTCTGTCGACCAACCCCGACGATTGTGTTACAAAATAATCGATTTTTACTCAATTCCCGTCATTCTTGTGTATACAAACTAGGTAGGGTGAGTAGGGGGGGGGGGGGTCGTCCAAGCAGCGCTCACCAACAGGGGGAGGTAAGAAAAATCTGGGCTCATTTAACCAAACTGTAGCCACGTCTTGAACTCATTGGCCGGCCACCCTCGCCCATCCTCGGTCAGGCTATCATCAAAAGTAAATTTTAGCGGAGTGGGGAGGGGGGGAGTGATGATGGAGGGTCTGGATTAAATGTGGAGGGGGAGAAGGAATGGAGGACTAGCATAAAAAACAAGACGCATTTGTAAGAAGTGGGAAGACACAATTGTAAGGGAACGGAAAAGGAGGTCGGGACATTTGATGAGGCACCTGGAGTTGGATTGGGTTGAAAGTTCAGTGGGACGAAAATAGACAGGGTGAGAAAAGTAATGTTTGCCTTTCAAACCTGACGGTCTATGGGGCAAGTGAAGTAGAGTTCACTTGTTTCTGTGACCTCGGCATATGAATGAATAGTGTGGTCAGCACTATGCCCAGCCGCCTTTAATTTCCCTAACCTGAGTTAATACCCATCAGAGTTGGGTGGACTCAGGGACGGTCTACTGACTTGAACCCGGATTCGAACTCGAGACTTACGGGTTAGCAGTCCAGCTCTCTACCGCTAGACCCCTCCGTCCCATACAGGGTGAGAAACATGTGGTAAAATAGTTTCTTTCAGGCATTCTCCCCCCCCCCCCCCACCCCCTGGTAGTTTCACGTAATCTCCTCCCCCCTCTCCTACTTTCCAAATAAAAATGGCTGAAAGAAACTCAGGGCCAAAAAATGGCAGCGTAAAAAGAATTATAATGAGTTGCCTATCTGCCAGCCTTCCTAATTTGGCTTCGTTACCAGAGTTGAATTACGCGTATAGACAAAAGAAAGATAACCCAGTATTTTTTACGTTGACGTTATTTTTAATGCGTTATTTCCCCTACATCCGTCACAAAAGCAAATCAGCGTTACATTCTTTTTATTTAGTCACCGTAAAGTCTAATCATGATATTGTATTATCTGTCTTGTGTTGTTGTTGTTTGTCTTTTAACCCACCCATACACTATCTAACGTGATACGACATTCCATTGACCGCCCATAACGTACATGACAGTCTTTTTAAAAAGCGTAATTGCAGTTAAAATTCAGTTCCTGACATAACTTTTTGTAATGCAAAAGCGTTTCGTCATAGCTTTTTTTAAAAACCCCAACCCCTCACCCTCGTCACAAATCGTCACTAAAGTCCAAGCACCCCCCCCCCTCTTCCCGTTTATAGCGTGACGTTGTTTAGGGTCAACCCCTTAACAAGTTCTGGTTTTAACCATACTAAAGAACAATAAAAACATCTGATTGATGAAAATCAACATTTTAAAACTTCTTGCCATTTATTAAGAATTAGAATAGTTTTAATCCAAATAACGAAAACAAGATGATGTGATGGCTCTCCCTGCACGGATGATGCGTCATTAAATCCAAAATAATTTTTACAATTTATATTTAAGTCCAGATGTAACAGATAATGACTACAAACATGTTTTAGTCGAGGCTTTTTTGTATGGTGTTCACACTGTTGTATAATTCCCCTAAACATCTCAGATGATGATGTAAAGATGTTAGCATGTGTATATATCCACGAATGATGTTTTAATTGATGTATTCATCCATCGCGTGAGTTCATCCTATGATGATGTTGGTGCACGCGAAGTCATCAATGAGCTGACCTTGGAAATAGAAATCCGCGAAGCACCCCCCGCAGTAGTTGGGGACACAGTCCGCCGTGGGGTAGGAGATGCAGGTCTGGACACTGCAGGGGTCAGCGTCACATGACACGGGTCGGATAGAGCAACCCGCACGGGTTGGTAGGCCACACGCTGAGGAGTAGAAAGTGAGTAGGTGATGGGGAGGTGGAGGTGGTTGTTACACTTGGGTTTGTATGTGATGTGGAGGTGGGGGTGGAGGTGGTTGTTACACTTGGGTTTGTATGTGATGTGGAGGTGGGGGTGGAGGTGGTTGTTACACTTGGGTTTGTAAGCTTTGTGGCTCGTTTTGTCAGGTGTGCCAAGATCAAATAGAACACTATCAACGAAGAGATTATATTCTATTCACGTGTAATTTTCACCACAAGAAATGACAAGAAAAATGACAAGAAATGTCAAGAAATGACACACTGTCAACAGGAGGCCTCTCTCTCTCTCTCTCTCATTCTCTCTCGCTCTATTTTTAGTACCTACACATTATCGTTTTAGACGAACACGTGACATGGTCAACACAAATCTCAAAGTTACAGTTGTAGAAGGTGAGAAGGGACGGAGTGGCCTAGCGGTAGAGAGACTGCTAACCCGAAAGTCTGGAGTTCAAATCCTGGTTCGAGTCAGTACAACGTCCTTGGGTCTACCTAGATCTGATGGGTACTTAATTCACGTTAGGAAAAGTAAAGGCGGCTGGGCATAGTGCTGACCATACTATCCCCTCATATGATTGAGTCATATGCCGAGGTGCCTGAAACAGATGAACTCTAATTTACCTGCCCCATGTGTCTTTGGCGCAAACGGTAAAAGACAATGATGAAAGCTACAGTTATGCAATACTTGGTTTACGTTTAATAAAGTAATTCGCAAAAAAAGTTAAGCAATGTTATAGGAAACTACACACCAGGCATTTAGTTACAGACAAACATCAGACGGATATCAGACAGACAAACACCTGACTCGATAAGCCGATTACAAAATGATAGACATTATAGAGACAACCAAAGACAGACACTAAAGCATTGAGTCACAGACAGACATCAGACAGATATCAGACAAACAGACAACCACAGACAGACACCAAGGCATTGACAGACATCAGACAGGTAACCACCAGACAGACATTTGACCACACTCTGTACCTGTAAACAGCAGCTGTATCAGACAGACAGAAAACAAAATCCTTCTGACAGACATGACTGGCTCAGATCTAACCAACAGTTGGACTTAAACACATTCAGATAAGGTGACCCCTTTCAACGTTTTAAAACTGTACTGAACACGACAGAACATCTACTTGCTAACGTCCTTCTATAATTTAAAAAGTCAACGTAAAATATATTGTATTTTAAAATTTATTACATGGCAATATAATTTACTAATTTACTGAAAAAAAATTCGAATAATATTTATATGGGTTGACATAAATAAAGTTTGAAAAATAATTTGCTATGTCGTATGTTTTATAAGTAAAGTTGGGATTTCGTTACAACAGCTGTTTGTACGTGTGTAACCCGTGCGGATAGTTTCTTATCTATAGGCGATAGACATAATTAAAGACAAGGAACACACACACACACATACACACATACACACATACACACACACACACGCAATAAAGGAAATCATTACACAGCGATGATGATGAGACTGGCTCTTGTTTTTGTGGGTATTTGTACGGTACTTTCAGTAGGTGAGTCATTGTTTTATGGTACTTTTACTAGGTCAGTCAATGTGGAACAGTACTTATATATTAATTAACACTATTTTAATTTAGTATAGTATATACTAGGTAAGCAGAAGATAAAGTTGTATAGAACTTTCACTAGGCAAGACATCACCATGCATACTATCTATACAAACACGAGGGTACGGCTAAGCCTATTGTTACTCCACCCACAACCAGGGTATGCCGTGCCAGTCCCCACCCCCGGGGCCTGCAGCCAGCCGCTGTCCATGTGTAAAGCTGACCCCTGCAGTGTAGAGAGGTGCATCTCGTTTCCTATGGCCGACTGTGTGGCCAACTACTGCGGAGGATGCACAGCCATGTTCTACTTTAATGGCCAACTACTGAGCGACGAAATTTGCTCTGCGATCATTGTTTAAAGAAAAACAATTTTTTTCTTTTGTTTATTAAAAATGTATTGAATTAAGGTTACAGTTTTATTTTCTAAACAACTGTTGTATAGTATAAGGTAAAAATAATACTACTAAGCGCAGTTATGAGTAGGGTTTGAAAACTGTAGATAAAATAAATAAAAAATTATCTCACCTTAAACTTTCTGGGAAACTATTTTATAACAATCAGGGGGATAGCACTTCCAGTGCAATCGGGCTAGTAAGTTTGTGAGAAAACTGCTCGTTTTTATTTTTTTTTTTTTTATTTTTTTTTTAAGTCGAAACTTGTTAGAATATGCTTTATGGGAATAAGATATAAAATTACGAATTGCTAATGGCCTTTGAGGAATCGGAATCAAAACAAAATACACCCTTATAAAGCACTAATCTTCCGCTCTATTATACATATTTAAAATAAAATAGAATGGCATTAAAAAAAATCGCACCAAAAAGTAATCAAATTCTTATGGCGGTCTGAGAAATCAGAAAAAAAAATGCGAAAATAACTACTTCCGTTATCCGGAAAACACTTAAGAATCAAAAGAATAGGATCTAAAAACCTATGTATGAAATTCCGTCTACCTAACTGAAGCTGCACTCAAATTATGAGTATTTTAGCTGTTGGCTTTTGAGAAACTGGAAGTATCACTTCCGGTAATCGGAAATCGCTCAAAGGGGATCAACCTGTCGTCCATATATTTCATCAAATGTTATGCCTATCTTGAATAAATAAGTAGTCAATTAGTATCTTGGAGCGAATGCGTCATTTATTGATTTATGCAGACTTTATATATATATATATATATATATATATATATATATATATATATATATATATATATATATATATATATATATATATCGTCTTGCAGACTAGGCCAAATCAGACAGACGTAGCCGACAGTTTGACTTGATCGGCCCACTTGAATCTAACCAATAGTTTGATTTGAACGAACAAATTGAGATAGATGAATTAATTTACATTTCAAACATTTGAAACTACACGAGAAAATAACAGCAGTTTAAATCTCAGATCTTTCGAAGGTTCCAAAAGTTTCAATCAATTGAACTCGAAGTATTCTATGTTTGTCATGGCTAGTAAATCCCCT